TATGTTGGGATTTGGAATCAAATCATATCATCATTATCATATATAGGTTGTCCAAACCAAAATTAAGAACGTTGCCTCTTTTCATCCATCTTCAGTTTAATTTTGGCCAATTGTAAACAAAAAATGTTTATTCTAATTGTATTTACACAAAATTGTTGCTTCCATTACCTTTTTCATTTCCTTGCTCTTTCAATTCGTCTCGTAACAATTTGACATTGATACGGATTTCTTGTGATGCATAATATTCAAAGTCTAAAAGGCCGATAATGGATAATGGTGTTTGACCATTTTGTTCTATAAAAACGTGATTACAATTCAAAAGTGTTTTTTATGCTAAATTACAAATTTGTTGTTCCGCTTGATTTCACATTGATTTTTGTAATTTTTTAATCTCAATTTAGTTTCAAAAGTTTTCAAGTTTCGACTTTTAATTTGGTCTCCCTAAATTGTGTTATAAATTGTCCTTAATTATATTATATTCATTCTTTTCTTTTTCCTTTTACTCATTTCTGATTTTTTTTTTATACATCCACAATCAATCATAGAACATGTTGTCACGAAATAAAAATAAAGTTTACGATAATTCGTTATAGATAGCTATTTTCTTACTTACCTAGAGGTGGAAGTACAGTCCTTTATCCACATCTTACTAAAAAACTAATTATAAGGGAATACAACTATAGATTTATTCCATTTTCATTTTCATACATGCATTTTCCATTAAGCTATATTCATATTAGTAATTCAAATGTCATCCACATCATAAATCACTTGAGTGTTACAATGATCATCGGTTTTTTAATTTGACAATTATAAGATTAAGGATGGTAGAAAAAATTACTGGCTTACTGTAAAATTAAAAACTCAAATGGTATAATAAATAACAAATTTGATTCAAATATAAAAGATGGTAGTTCAGTATTGAATTCAAGTTTTGAATTTGTCGAGAGAAATAAAATTCGATTAATTGTTTTTTTTTTTTGTTTGGGCCTTCGGAGAGAAAAAGAAGGTGCATTTATAGAGGTTGCGTAGTAAAAACGTTTGAAAGAAGCGTAGAGGCAGTGGGTGGAGAAGGTGGGTTTAATCTTTAATGGTTGCTTGCTGCATTGCATGAGGCTAATTATAGCGTTTACAGACCCAACAAATTAATATACTTAAACACGCATATTTAATGGAGACTTCAATTTTGTCATAGTTTGCCACCTACGTTTTTCTATCAGATTTATTGCTCTCCCTTTCTCTTTCTCTATGTTTTTTTCTTCTCATTTGAAATAAATTCATTTTATTAATTATTACATCAGTACTCAATTAATTTTCATAAATCGCACTTCCATCCCTATTACTGCCCATCATCTACGCCTCCTTTTTCCACTAATTTTAATATTAATGTTAATCTCAAACTTTGTTGTTCATTAATTAACAAGTAATGTCGTAGGATTGTGGATTTAATATGTTGATGATAATTATGCGCGACTTTTATGAACCTCGCCTCGCATTTATTCGTATTTAATTGGGCAACCATACTTTTTAATTTAAACTTATTTGGGAAGGAAATCAACGTCAGAAGGCCATTAATGCCCATAAGTTAATGAATTGATTTATGATTAATTATTTCCATAATTAATGGTATAATACATTAATTTTGTGTTATTAAGGAGCAATAATAACAGCTGCGGCATTTCCAGAACTACACAATTGCCACGAAATAAATATATAATTCTAGTGCTACATAAGCGAAAATATGTTCAAAATGAAAATTTGAAAATATTGAATACTTCCAAAATGTTTTAAAGAGAGATAAGGTATAATTGAAACATTTATGGCAGTAGCCAAATATACCATATATTTGAATTTTTTTACTTTAATGTTGAAATAAATGTAGAAAAAATTAGGTAAGTGGTTAGTTAAAAGTGTAACTTTTATAATAATAGAAAATAAAAACAAAAGCAAAAATAAAAAGTTAAAAGTATAACTTCTTTGCTTAGGCGAAGACATCATTGCCTAATTATTATTTATCACCACGTCGGACAAAAGAAAAAGCTAATGAATAGTTTCACATTACTATTATTATATATAATTAATTTTGGTTACATCATTATTTAAATTATTTTTAATTCAACTTGGTTTATTTTCAATAGACACCATATAGGTTGATCTTAGATTCGCAACGATAATTTCATATTTCAACAACAATTGATGAATTTGAACCTAGTTTAATTGGTTTAGATAATTATTTTCGACTAAAATGTTATGAGTTCAAATCTCTACTTCCACATGTTGTACTAAAAATAAAAAATTTAATTTAAAATATGAGGTGATAATTCGAACTCATCATTTTTTAGCCGGAGAAATCATGAATTTGAATCTATCTCTATTTATTATATTAAAAAAATGAAAAAAAAAGAAAAGAAAGAGAGTAAAAAGAAAAAAAAAATACTCATAAAAAAAACCTTGTATGCTCCTTGAATATAAATATTATTTTTAGTACCTTCGAAAATTCCATCAAACTTTAAGGTCCTTTCGTTTCGTTTTCAGTTTTTAATTTTTGCTTTAATTTTTTTTAGTTTATGAAAAACACACTTTTTTAATAACCAATTAAATTTTATGTTTTCTATTTTTTAAAATAGTTTTTTAAATCTTTTAGTAAATTAAAAAGAAAAGTAGTTTTTAAAATCCGTTTTTTTTTCCTCAAAATCTCATTTTTTTATATCAATTTTTTTCTATGGCATATTTATTATTAATCACTTTTTTTTGCCCTTTAAAATATTGTTTACCTAAATTTCTCCCTCTAACAAATTTTATCACTCTCTCTAAAATATTTCTCTCCATTCTCAAAATTTTCATTTGTTTATATTTATAATTTTTTTTGGAGTTAACCTATCACTTTTTTTTTCTCTAAAAATTTAATAGGTTTTCGAAACATTTCTCATTCTCAAATTTCACATTTTATAACTTTTCTTTCTCTATCTAATATATTTTTATCTCTAAAAAATATACATTGTTTATGCAAAGGTTTGCACAACTCTGTTTTACGAACCAAGCTCGAACCTGATCCCGGATTGACCTGAACTCAAGAGTGAACCTGCACAAGAGGGTAAACTCTCTAACGCTCAAATCAGTGTAGATCGGGCACAATATAAGGTTCGAGATGAGATTCGATACCTGAGCGTGAAATGAGGCCCTCTATTTATAGGTGGTGGATCCGACAGTACTCACGACCGACGGTTACTTTTGTCCTTTTTCATGTCGAACCTGTCGGGGTTAAGCAGATCGAACCCGTCCAGGTCGGACCAGGGTTTTTTACACTTAGCCCCCACGATGGGTGAACCCAATCTCCTCGGCAGGTTCGAGGTGGACCTGGTGATACTTTATTCYCGAAACACCAATGAATGTCCTCCACGTGTCCCATGTATTTTTACCCTCAAACATACATCTTCAACTTTTCTCTATCTAAATATTTTTTCGTTTAATTTTCTTTCTCTTATATGTTTATCTTTTTATTTATTTACTTTATGTAACAAATATATTTTGAACTTTTTATTGTTGAAATTTTACTCTCACTATAATTTTCTTTCTTTCTGATTTTGTTTTCTTATCTTTTCTCAACTTTACTCTCTCTCTAATTTTTTGTTACACAACTTTACTCTCTCTGTAATTTTTTGTTACACGATAATTTTCTATTTTTGACTTCAACTTTTATCTCACTAATTTGTTTTTCTAACTTTTCTTTAACTCTCTAAAATTTATTTATTTTCATGGCTCTACAATAGGGACGACAAAAATTCTCGTAGGATCAAGTTTATGCTTTAAGAATAGAGAATGAATTTCCCACCCTATCGTGTCTCTCCTTCTATTTTTTAAATAATCAATACATATTTTATTAATTGCTTTGTTAAATGATGAATAAATAATAAATTATTTATTTATACGAGTAAATAATAATTTTTTTAGTAAAATAATATAAATTATATATCTTTATTACTTTTTTATTTT